TCCTTCACGGTCGAGCTATAACAACATGAAAATTGTTTCTTATGACAATGGTAAACTTTAAGTTTATGATTAAATGCAACAAAATAACATTAAAAGGCGAAAAATAATAACTTTCCTGCCCCTGAGCTGTTGGCTTTAAGTAACTGAGCAATTTAGTTAGATAGCACAGTAATAATGTCTCAAAATAAACTGCTATATAGTCAGCATCAACCATAAACTAAATCTGCCCTAATGCATATTAGCTACTTACTACAAACTCATCAGTGAGTAAAACTTTTTTCGTTTTATTTTTAATAATATTTCTGTGTTTATTTCAGATTTAGACAGTAGTAGCCTACACTTAGTTCTTATCAGTGTTTAAAAGAGGACGTGTTAAAATACTGTTTRGTCAAAGTTAAACATGAAACGTCAAAGTTCATTAAAACTGGCCCTTTGAGGGCCACCATAACGCTCATGTGGCCCTCTGTAAAATGAGTTTGACACCCCTGCTCTAAAGATAATCTGAGCAGATATTCCTGGGTGGTGAGTTAAAAGTGATTGAGTCGGCTCGGAAGGACATCGGGACCACTTCGACCTCAAATTGGGGATATTCAACATGTTTGATTTTTTGGCCTGATATCACAGTGTGTGTAGTGTTCGCCTGAAAACAAACGAGCTTGCAGCCTGTTGAATGTGATGTGYAGCCAATCAGAAAGTGAGGAAACGTAAACATGGAGGGGAATCCAAAATACAGAAGACATAAAAAACTGTCATGACTCAGCAGAAYATCAGCTGGATGTTTTAAGTTCTATGGAATTGTTTTTCCTCTGGTAAAAATAGCCCACAAACGATCAATATTGTTTCTTTCTAGTCACAAATGTTTATTTATTTACTCTGAAATCACGTCACTCTGGGGGTCACGCAAGATTTTTCTTCTGACATCTGAATTCTCGTGAGATTTCAGAGGTCTTCTGTGATTTCACATCTGACATCTGAATGTTCAWAAATGAAATATATTTTAGTGTGTGGTGTGTTGTCTCTTGCCGTGTGGCTGTACACCACACACTGCAGGACCAAACCTGGTAGATCCATGATTTTTTATCCTCACACGTGGGCTCTCTCAGTCTTTRAAAATMGGCCAGTTTTGAAATGTTGCYGTGTGACGCAACCCTTAGTGTAAATGTGCAAATGACAACAGAAGTGGTGCAGACCACCCTATTGAATTAAGAATTTTGTATGTGCTACTGGCTGTCACCACTGAGGCAAATGATCCAGATGTGAGAACATGCAGAGTTGAAAGGAGTTTTTCCATAAGACAGGGTTCTGCGACATAAGGCTCTTTTTGGCATTGACAAGTTTATTTATTTTATTTTTTATTCCACAGATATCTTGAATTTCAACGTGATGC